CTTGAACCCAGGAGGCGGAGGTTGCAGTGAGTCAGGATCGCGCCACTGCACTCCAGCCTGAGCAACAAAGTGAGATTCTGTCTCACAAAAAAAAAGGCCCAGTGCAGTGACTCACGCCTGTAATCCCAGCGCTTTGGGAGGCCAAGGCAGGTGGATCACCTGAGGTCAGGAGTTTGAGACAGGCCTGACCAACATGGTGAAACCCTGTCTCTACTAAAAATACAAAATTAGCCGGGCGTCATGGTGCGTGCCTATAATCCCAGCTACTCAGGAGGCCAAGGCAGGAGAATCACTTGAACCTGGGAGGTGGAGGTTGTGGTGAGCTGAGATCGTGCCATTGTACTCCAGCCTGGGCGACGAGCGAAACTCCGTCTCAAAACAAAAGTGAAAACAAAAAAACACATTACCCAGGTGTGGTGGGAGGATGAGGCAGGAGGATCACTTGGGCCCAGGCGATCAAGTCTGCAGTGAGATGTGATTGCGCTCCTGCACTTACCAAACAACTGTTTACGTGCCAGGAGACAATGGGGATATAGCAGTGAACTAAGCAAACAAAATCTTCCTGTGGAGCTCACATTCTGATGGATAAGAAATAGTCAATATTCAATAATTCAATGTAACTTTTTAAAAAATTGTTTGGGAGACAGCAGAAAAGAACATGGCTGTGGATAAAAATGAAGTACATACAGAATTATAAAAAAAAAAAAATCTGGGCGTGGTGGCTCATGCCTGTAATCCCAGCACTTTGGGAGGCCAAGGCGGGCAGATCACCTGAGGTTGGGAGTTCGAGACCAGCCTGACCAACATGGAGAAACCCCATCTCTACAAAAAATACAAAATTAGCCAGGCGTGGTGGCACAGGCCTGTAATCCCAGCAACTCGGGAGGCTGAGGCAGGAGAGTCGCTTGGACCCGGGAGGCAGAGGTTATGCCTGGGCAACAAGAGCGAAACTCCGTCTCAAATAAAAAGAAAACAAAAACAAAACACTCTATTCTCTCCCAAACCCTACTAATTCAATTAGAGGCTCTGCATTACCTCCACAGGAATTTGGGGACATGGTGAAGGAATGTCTTTCTACCACTGCCCTCCCCTCCAATCTGATGGAACACCTGCAGCTACAGTTGGAGTTCTAGGATGCTTGCATGGTCAATGGCCCATTTTCTGGGGTCTGGAACTGGAGGGCGAAGGTGGCACCCAGATCCTGCATTGTCACATGGGGTTAATCAATTTTCCTGCCCGCCAGGGTTCCATTTGAGTCATCTGGGTTTTATTTTGATTCAGCCTCTTTAACTGGCTGCTAATGTCACCTCCTCCTACTCTTTTCAGGCAATAATGGGACAGGAAAGACAAAGTCTTTCTCCAGAGCAAGAGTCATGGGAGTGGGAGAGTCTCTCCCTGGTGGTTTCCAAGGAGGAAACACTGGCAGGGCCAGCTCTGGGGACCTGCCTTTGCACTGTCTCTCCTACCGTAACGATTGGAGGTGGGTCTTCTGTTACCACGCCTGTGAAGACCATTTAGAAATGTTTTACAACTCACGCCTGATCACTGTCCACCACTTTCCCCACTCTCCTCCCACCGTGGCTCCAATCCCCTTCACTATACTCCCTATTATTGTCTCCACCATGATGAGCCCTGCCAATATCAGGGGCTCTTAAAAGGGATTCAGACCAATGTTTAGCTTTCTCAGATGAGGAAACAGGCCTAGAAAAGTGAAGTAGTTAGTCCTAAGTCACACTGCCTCATTTATTTACTCATTCAACAAAAAATATACTTTCTTACTCTTTTAAGATTTAGCTTAGCCAGGTGCGGTGGCTCATGCCTGTAATCACAGTACTTTGGGAGGCCGAGGCAGGTGGATGGTTTGAACCCAGGAGTTCAAGAACAGCCTGGGCAACATGGTGAAACCTTGTCTCTACAAAAAATACAAAAATTAGCCGGGCGTGTGGCGTGCGCCTGTAGTCCCAGCTGAGGTGCAAGCCACCACGCCCGGAGACTGAGGTGGGAGGATCACCTGAGTCCAGGAGGGCGAAGCTGCAGTGAGCCAAAATCGCACCACTGCACTCCAGCCTGGGGGCCAGAGCAAGACCCTGTCTTTAAAAAAAAAACAAAAACAACAACAACAACAAAAAAAAAATAAGAGCTCATCAAAGAGACCTTCTCTGAATACTGTGAAGCAGATCCCACCCTCCCATTCTTCTCTAGCGCTGCCCCTTGGTGTTTCTTTTTTATCCTTTATCACAATCTCTTTCTTTCTTTTTTTTTTTTTTTGAGACGGAGTTTCACTCTTGTTGCCCAGGCTGGAGTGCAATGGGGTCATCTCAGCTCACTGCAACCTCCACCTCCTGGGTTCAAGCAATTCTTCTGCTTCAGCCTCCCAAGTAGCTGGGACTACAGGGACCCACCATCATGCCCGGGTAACTTTTGCATTTTTAGTAGAGACGGGTTTCCCTATGTTGGTCAGGCTGGTCTCAAAGCCCTGACCTCAGGTGATCCACCTGCCTCGGCCCCCCAAAGTTCTGGGATTACAGGCATGAGCCACTGTGCCTGGCCCTTTGTCACAATTTCTAGTGGTTTTACTTATTCGTCTTTTTATTTTTCTGACTTCTCTACCATACTGCAAGTTCCACGAGAGCAAGAGACATGTATACCTGTCAGAGACATGTTCAGCACTGTATTCTTAGTACTCAGCAGCACATAATACATGTTCAAGAAATCTTTGCGGAATAAATATACAATGAGCAGGTACCAACCCTCAGGGCACGTAGAATACAAGAATGGTAATCCCTGCTCTCAGAACTGCCTGGTATGAGCAGCAGAACTAGAAATGGAGAATGCAGTGAGATCAGGTCCAGATTGGAGGAGGGGGAGGATTTTAGGGCACCTAAACCAGGCCTAATCTCTGTTGAACTTTTGCTACCAATCACCTAGAACCAAGGATAGAACCATTTGGCTGCACCCCGCCAGGTGACTCAATTAGGCCCTGAGCATCCAAGCAGCAGCAGGGGCTGATGACTCATCCCAGAGAGTGTGTGCTTAGAGGGTCCTGGGACCCATTACCTTTTCCAGTGAGGGAGAGCTTGCCAGTTGGTCTCATGGGTCCTGTTTGTGGCCAAGTCCAAGATCACTGAGGGTCCCAGAGAAAACCCTACACCCCCTAGCCTAGCCGCCAATCTTTTGCCTGGTCCCTTGCTTCAGAAGAGATCTTGGGGAGTGTTAGGGAAAGGAATATCTGCCTAGCCCTTGGGATTAGTGGGTGACAGATGTCCCCACTGGTTTGCCTTCATATCTAAAGGGTAGAGGGGTCATCCCACATGGCTCAGAGACAGCTAGTGCCTCAGAGAACAAGTGGCTGACCTGCCTTCCTGTTCTGGACTACAAAAGGGAGCTGGTGCTGGCAGAAAGACTGAAAGGGAACCCAGCAGGAGGAGAAGGAACGAAGCCACTGAGAATCCCCCCTTCTATGAAGAGAACAAGTCTAGAGCTCTGGCTGGCTCTCCTGGTAGAAGCTCACCTCTCAGTCCAATTTTCTCCCAGCAGTGAGGAAAGATGGCAACTGCTGCTTTTCAAAGCTCAGAGAGAGCAAGAAGCCTTTTCTTTCCATCCTTCCCCTGGGAGATTCCCACCCCCTACACCACCTCAGGATCCAAAAAGGTAGGCTCAGGTTCCCAGCAGTCTTCACAGTTAAAGCCTGAATCTGCCAAAAGCCCCCGCCCAGCTTATCCCCTGCTTCCGGGCTTTGCCTCCCTGTCCACAGAGGATGCTCTTTAGCCAGAGTCCTCCACGATTCCCCTGATCATTCCCTACCTGCAGCTAGGCTGACCATGCCTCTGTCCACATTGTTTAATCCACCAGGCAATACTCAAAATGACTCGTTAACACTTCCTGAGCATTCGCAGGCTGCTGTATTTAGTTCTGATTCCCATTCTTCCTCCATGAGAGTGCTTAGGTGGGGCATGATCTCCAGCTTAGAAAGGTTAAGGTAACTTGCCCAAGGTCACACAGCAGGAAAGTAGCAAAAAACTTGTTTCTCTTGCCCGGGAGTTTGGCAGGTGCTCAAATAATCTTTGTGGACAGGGTGAAATCTGTTGTTTCTTCATTTCCCTGACCTGTGGGTACTTGAGGGTGGCCAGGGAGTGGTGTGTGGGAAGGGGGATGGCTGTCCTTCTTCATGAATGAACCTTTGACCTCCTTAGTTCACTCTCACTTCCAAAGAAGTGACAGCTTTGACTCTAATCTCTCTGTACCTTATGTTCAATGTATTTATCGCAGCAATGCCCCTTTTTCCAGGAACAACGAAGAGTAGGTCTAATGATTTCCTTCTCGAAAGCGCAAAGATAAAAAAAAAAAAAAAATCAAAAAAAAATCCAAATAAACAGCCCCGTTTCCTCCCCAAATATACAGCCCATAACTAAACAACCAAAACAACCAAAGCACCAGCCCGGCCCCTGCACTGACCGCAGACGCCCCCAACACACGCCACCACGCCACACTGCGCCGGGAGGCGTCGGGGAGGGGGCGCCAGCGCGGGCTGCGGGCGCCACAGGGAGCCGGTGGGCTCCGGGCGCGCTGCCAGGAGGGGCCGCACCGTGGGGGCCGCCGCCCGTCACCACGTGGTGGTGGCAGCGGCGGGGTCCAGGGCGCCTTCCCAGCTGGAGAAACCCGGAGCAGCCGGGGAGGAGGAGGCGGAGGCGGCGGCGGCGGCGGCGGAGGAGGAGCGGGGCGGGCGGGAGGGAGGGGGTTGGGGGGAGGGGTGGGGGGTGGGGAGAGACCCGGCGGCGGCGACAGGGCGAGGAGCAGAGCGCGGTGCCAGGGGGGTGGGGGCACTGGTGCCCGTTTGGGGAGGGAGCAGGCGGAGGGGGTAAGCTGCGATTACAAGCAGGAACCGGCAGCAGCTGTGAGTCCCCGGCTGGGGCTAGGGCGGGGGGAGGGGAGCGGCGCCCGGGTCGGGCCTCGGGGGTCGCGGGGTGGGCAGGAGGAGGCGGCGGGAGAGCGGCTGGCAGCCGCACGGGATGGCTGGGAGGGAAGGGGTCCGGCGTCGGCCGGCTGCATCCCCTCGCGTCCCCCTCCGCCGCCGCTTCTCAGGCCGCTCCACCCCCGGAGCCCCTTCCCCGGCCCCGAGAGGGTGTCCGGGGGCCCCGGGCCCGGCCGGCTGTGGGGAAGGGGGCTGAGTGGTCTCGGTCCCCGAGAGGGGAGGGGCGACAATTTCTGTCGGCCGAACGAAAGGGGTTTAAAGGGCGGCTCTTAAAGGAGCCGCAGGAGGGGCCCGGGCCGACCGAGGCACGCACCCCTTCCCCAGCCCCCTTCCATTGCGCTCATCCGGGCGCTGGGCCCAGAGAGGAATGCGGAGGAAAGAGGCATTTGTGGGGCGGCCTCGGGGACAGAGCCCCGCTAGGGTTGTGGGCGCAGCGGGGCGGGCAGGGGTCTGGGGGTGTGAGCGCTGGCGCGCGGAGCTGGGGGGAGGGGATGGCGTGGGAAGTAGAGGGTTAAAGGTGGGGCCGGCCTTACAAACGCGCGCACACACTCCTTACTCAGACCCAGTCACTCGCGTTTCCCTGGCACTTAGATGGGCCTGTGGGTGGCGGGGGATGGCGGGGGATTGAATTGGAGCTTGCGCCGGAGCCCTTTGCATCCCAAGCTCCTGCAGCCGGATCTGGAGGCCCCGCTGTCTGAACTCACAGCTCCCCGCCGAGCCCCCTCTCTGGGGCGCACACACGCTTCAGCGCGCGCACACACCTCGGACAGTCCCCTCGCGTCTCACGTGACACGCGGCCCCAACGTGCCACCCTGCCCACGCGCTCACGCACGCGTGCACACACACCAGCCTCCCGACCGCTGCCCCACTCCGTCCCGACGCCCCTGCGACCCTGAAGGCACTCATTGACTGACACACCTACACTCATTCACAGACGCACACTCCCCCCACACGCCAACCCCAGACACACATTCATAACCAGGCCCGCGAGAAGTACACACGCACCCCCTCACTGCCTACTCCTGCTTTCGGGAGCCTGAGTCATTCCTGCCCCCTCGTAGGGTTCCCCATTTCCCGGCGCGCAGGCACCCTGAGACGGCCTTGGGAATTCGTTCGCGTCCCCCTCCACCTGGGCCCCCTTCCCCAGTTTGCGCCCCGTGACACTCAGCCAAGGACTTCCTGTGGGTCCCAGGTCAGGGGCCAAGGGGTCCTGGACGGCTGCCACAACCCCGGAGCGCCCGGGGGAGGCGCTTCCTTTTCCTGAACTCTGGGATCCTGCGGGAGGAAGTGGGGAAGTTGGGCGGGGGTGCAGCCGAGGGCGTGCCGACTGTGGAGAGGCCGACCCTCGCGCAGCTCTGGGCCTTCCTTGGGGAGGAGCTGGGGTGCCAGAGGCCCAGGCTAAGGAGCTTGGCGGCGAGGTATTTGGGGAAGTAAGGCCTGGGGTGGAGAAGCGCTAAGGACTGGGCGCGGCCCGGCTGGGAAGGCAGCCCTCTCCCATCCACAGGTCTCCCTGGGTTCTGGCAGGAGCCTGTCCCTGCTGCCGGCCTGGTTTACTTGTCCCTACTTGTCAACACCCTGGCAGCGGGGTCTTCACCTGGTTCCAGTCCGTTTTCCCCAAGGCGGCAGAGAGGATGGGGCTGAGGAGTCTGGGAAGGGGCCATGGGAGTCCCCGCTGAGCTTGGGGCAGGAAGCTTTTGAGTTGCATTTCAGCCCGCCCCAGGGCGTGCAGAGCCAGGGAGAGGGGTACCAGGGACAAACCCTAGACAGACGGCCCTGTCCACGGTTGCTCCTGCTCTCCCAGGAGGCCCTGTGTGGGCCGTGGCCCGGCCCTCGCCATGGAGTCCATGTTCGAGGACGACATCAGCATACTGACGCAGGAGGCCCTGGGGCCCAGTGAAGTGTGGCTAGACGGTCCCGGAGACCCCTCACTTGGGGACGACATGTGCTCTGCCTCCCACTTTGCCCTCATCACGGCTTACGGAGACATCAAGGAACGGCTGGGGGGCCTGGAGAGGGAGAACGCCACCCTCCGACGCCGCCTCAAAGTCTACGAGATCAAGGTCAGACCTTGGAGAGGAGGGCGCGCCTGACAGTGTGTGTGGGGTGGGGAGGGGTACTGAGAATCTGGCAGATACCAGGGATTCAAAAGAGGGGTCACTGTGCAGACTCTTGGGAACTTGAGGGTCTCCCATGAGAGACGTGGCTGTTCTGGATGCCGACTGTCTCCTGTCGGCTTCGGAAGGGCTGGATCTGGGATCTAAAACAGATCTGGTGGGTGGGAGATGGCTGCAGGCCCATGGGAATTGGGATCCCACTAGCCAAGGAGAAGGAGGGTCAAGGGTCTGAGGCAGGTTGTGGGGTTGGGGGCACAGCCAGGCTGAGGCCTGGGCTGGGCATCCGGGAACCCGCTCTCCTGAAGCCCTACCCCACCTGCAGTACCCACTGATCAGTGACTTTGGAGAGGAGCATGGCTTTTCTCTGTATGAAATCAAGGATGGCTCCCTGCTGGAGGTGGAGAAGGTCAGCCTGCAGCAACGGCTCAACCAGTTCCAGCACGAGGTGAGCCTCCCAGGCTGGGCGCACCCCCTGAGCATCTTGCTCCAGTCTGTTTCTGATACCCTTCCCTCCACACCCCCCAGGATCTGGCCTCTGCCCCTTTGATTAGAGATGTCCAGGTCCTCCCTAAGACCAGCTGCAGCTGCTCCTGCACCTCCATAGGGTGCTGGGAGTGGGGGTGGGGAGGTGCAGTGAGCTTCCCAGCCCCAAGTCCAGTGTGGGACTGACCCTGTGGTGGGGCCCTCTGGGCCTCATCCAGTTACAGAAGAACAAGGAGCAGGAAGAACAGCTTGGAGAGATGATCCAGGCCTATGAGAAACTCTGCGTGGAGAAGAGCGACTTGGAGACGGAGCTTGGGGAGATGGTGAGGCCTGGGGAGCCAGGGGTGCTTGAGGATGTCGCGTTGGATTGTGCTGGTTGTGTGTGTGCATGTGTGCATTTAGTTCTGTGTGTGAGGATTCCAGCCTGTGACAGTGTGCAATCCCATGTGTCACACACCACTTGTATGTGCCCTGCTTGTGTTCATGTATATCTGTGAGTGCCCACCCGTTTGCCCTTGTGAGGGAGACTGCATGTGCTATCCATGTTGCAGTGACTGTGTGCATCCTGGCCATGCAGTGGCCCTGTGAGAACCTCTGTCTCTGTGTGTATGCCTGGCTGTCACGCTGGGGTGACCCTGTGCCCGTGAGCACTGCCCCGGGAGGCTGTGAGGGTGAGGGCAGAGGTGACCAGGAGTGTGTGACTGCTAGAATGGGCCTGTGCTTGGGTGTGCTTCTGAGTCAGGGTGTGGCTGTGCTGATGAGCAGGTCAAAATCAAGAGACAGGCCAGGCATGGTGGCTCATGGCTCTAATCCCAGCACTTTGAGAGGTCAGGGAGTTTGAGACCAGCCTGGGCAACATAGCAAAACCCTATCTCTACAAAAAATACAAAAAAGAAGTTAGCCAGGCGTGGTGGTGCACGCTTGTGGTCCCAGCTACTCAGGGAGCTGAGGTGGGAGAATCACTTTAGCCCAGGAGGTGGAAGCTTTGGTGAGCCAAGATCGAGCCACTGCACTCCAGCCGGGGTGACAGAGCCAGACCCTGTCTCCAAAAAAAAAAAAAAAAAATCAGGAGACATGGTCTCAGCCAACCCCAAGCCATGACCTCAGTTAAGTCACTTAGCCTCTATCCCTCCTCTGAAAAGTGGGGCAAATATTAACACCCTCACCAGGCTGTAGTGAGGGTGATGGGGCATTCATATATAGATGCTTTGCCTTCATAATCACAGATATTTATGTGGTACTCAGGGTGTGCCAGGCACTGTTCTTTTCACCTGGCATACACTAGCTCATTTTAAATCTCAAAACAACCCTAAGAGATGAGTATGGGACTGTTATCCCCATTTTATGGAACAGGTGTGTGAAGCCCGGAAGCTCTTGTCACGTATGCAAATGGAAGTTCTGATGCTCCTGAGGGGGATTGGCCTCCAAACAGGGGGGCTGAGTGTTCTTTTAAGTGTCCCTGTGTGTTAATGACAGAGCAGGGGCATTAACTTGACCTAGCCAGGGGCAACAGCCCTCAACAGCTGCATTGAGGTGGCTGAGACGAGACTTCGCACTCACGGCCACTTGGAGAGTGGGCTTGGAACATGTGATCTGGGGCCTCTGCTGTAGTTTGGGGTGATGACTCTCCAGACATGGGGAAGTCCTGGGCCTGTACAGACCCTCACCTCTGTCTCTCTCTCCAGAGGGCCCTGGTGGAGACGCACCTGCGCCAGATCTGTGGTTTGGAGCAGCAGCTGCGGCAACAGCAAGGCCTCCGGGATGCAGCCTTCTCTAACCTGAGCCCGCCGCCAGCCCCTGCGCCGCCCTGCGCTGATTTGGACCTGCACTACCTGGCACTGAGAGGGGGATCTGGCTTGAGTCATGGTGAGATCTCAGTGACCCCAACTTACTCACCTCCTAGTCCCCAACCCCCATTTCAGCATTCCTAGACACCTCCCGCTTACGTACCATCCCATTTGTAATATAATCTATTTCTCCATAATCACCCCATCCTCCCTTACCTGCTGTCCCCTCACCTCACCGCACTGTTACCCTAATTTCTCCCCTTCTAACTCGGGCATTCCGACCACCTCGTTGCAATTCCTGCGCCTGCCAGCAGAGGGCACCCCCACCCAGAGTCCCCCTGCCCCTTCTCTGGCTGTGACTAGGAGAGGCCCCTGCAGAAGCTCTAGACTTGAGTCTGGCCAGTAAAGCCTTCAAGAGCCCATCTTATTTTTTTCCTGGCCCCCAGGAAGATTAGAAATGCGGCTCAGCCCATCTTTCCTCGCTGCCCTTGTCGCGGTCATCCCTCCTTGGCTAGCTGTCCTGGCTTCTCTCTTGAATCCTCCATGCTGCATCCTCCCCTGTTTCACTCTGTGTGGCTCTGGGAGCTGGAGGAGGCAGCTGAGCCCACCTGACGTTGTCCTGTCCACCGACAGCAGGCTGGCCGGGCCCCACACCCAGTGTGAGTGACCTGGAGCGGCGGCGGCTAGAAGAGGCTTTGGAGGCAGCGCAGGGAGAGGCCCGGGGGGCTCAGCTCCGGGAGGAGCAGCTCCAGGCAGAGTGTGAGCGGCTGCAGGGGGAGCTGAAGCAGCTGCAGGAGACCCGGGCCCAGGTAAATGCAGGGACCTGGAATAGCTTCTGGAGGTCCAGGGCTGGACCTTCCCCACTGTGTGCAGACTGGCCCAGGGAACGGTAGAGGAGGGCCCTGGCAGGGGTGAGCTTGGGCTCTGACCTCTCCATCTTCTTCCTTAGGATCTGGCCTCCAACCAGTCGGAGCGGGACATGGCATGGGTGAAAAGAGTTGGGGATGATCAGTAAGTCACATTGGTAACCCTGGGCCCCCTAGGTTTGCCTTTCGTCCCTCCATGATGTTTGGGAGACCTCCCCACCCAGCCCTCAGGGATGTAGTGTCTGGGCTGCTGTTGCTCTGTGTGCATCCTTCATAGGAAGGAGGTGGGGTTCTTTTTTTTTTTTTTTTTTTTTGGAGACAGAGTTTCGCTCTTGTTGCCGAAGCTGGAGTGCAGTGGTGTGATCTTGGCTTGCCGCAACCTCTGCTTCCCGGGTTCAAGCAACTCTCCTGCCTCAGCCTCCCGAGTAGCTGGGATTACAGGCATACACCACCACGCCCAACTAATTTTTTTTATTTTATTTTTAGTAGAAAATGGGGTTTCTCCATGTTGGTCAGGCTGGTCTCGACTCCCAGGAGGTGTGGTTCTTGAGTGGGATCTGGGACATTCCCTTTGCTTTCCTCTGGGGCCCAAGCCTGTATCTTCTGGAGATGCTGAAGCTAAGTGACACTCGGCTGCTTTGTCGCTGTGTCCAGCGTAACATCCCCTGCTGAGCTTTTGGGCCTCCGTAGGGCCCCATTTTCTATTGCAGTGACAAGGCCCAGTGAGTTGGGTTCACCCTCCCCTCCGTAGTGAGGAAGAGGGAGGTGGTGTTTCTCAGGATTTGTTAGGCCTTGTCTGCTGATGTCAGGAGAGAGAAGCCTGAGGCTTAGAGACAGGAGAGGCTTCCTTGGGTTCACACAGCCATGGGGTGGGGAGTTAGAATCTGCTCTGCTGAGGTGCTCCCTTGGAATCCTACCAAGAAGGGGGCAGCAGAGAGTGGCAAGGGAGCTGTGTTGGTGGGGGACCCAGTGTTGGGGCCTCCAGGGGGGCACTGGGCAGCAAGGGAGGAGTGAGCAGCCACCCGGCAACAGTGGAACCTGGTGCCTTCCACATCCGCACTGAACTCACCCTCTCCCACTTTCTGAGAAACACAGCTCAAACCTCTTTCCGCCTAAGTCCTCTCCCCTAAGATGAGCTGTGTGGCACAGACTCCCTACTCTAATTGGAGGAGAAGACTGAGGCCCAGAGAGGGGCAGGAACCAACCCCCCAACGCACAGCATACCCAGCTCCAGGGCTCCAGAGGTCTCCTGCCCAGCAGGCTTCTTCCTCATCTTCCTCCCAGCCTCTGGCCAACTGGGGATACCCCTCGCCTACGTCCCCACCTTAGGGTGAGGGCTTGGGTGGAGCTGTGATAGCTGGGGAGGTGGTGAGAACGCAGTTTGTGGGACTGGTGGGTGGGACCCCTCGGCTAGGCCTTTGTGGAGAGGGTCCACCCTAGCTTGTGGCTGGGGCTTGGGGCCCATCGTAGCCCATGTGCCCAGACCTGGAACACACACACACACACACACACACACACACACACATTCTCCAATCCTAGCTTGTCCCAGAAGTCATGCTGTAGGGCCCTTTGTGGGTCACTGAACCCAGTCCCCTCTTATCAAACCAACAGTGAATCTCTCTGAATTGGTAGAACTCCAAGGGAGGACATTTTGGTGGGGCTGGAGTCTGGCTTTTCAGGCTTTGAATCCCAGGGACCTTTCTTTACTGACTTGGACTCTACCTCTCTGGATTCCACAGGCTCAGGGGCCAGTCAATGCTGGGAGATAGGAGAGGCGGTGGGTAGAGGCAGAGAAGAGGCAGTGGCTCCCAGGGGCCAAGGTTGTATTTTATGAGTGAAAGGAAGCCCACCCCATAAGGGACTAGGAGGCCGTACCATCCACGCTGCCCATTCTAACAAGAGCAGCCCCTTCCCTCTCTCTCTCCCAAGGCGCCTGCCCTTCTCAGGCCCTTTGGCTGAAGGGAGCTGGGCTCTGCTTGGGGACTGGCCCACAGGCTTACCAGAGGCCACCTCCTGGCTCCTCCTCTCCTTCCCTCTGATTCCGCTCTGCCTCCAGCCTCCCAGATCTCTGCATCTGGAGCCAGCCAGGCCCTGCTGCCCAGCCACACGCTTCCTTTCAGGCCGAGCGAGCATCTCTGGACAGCCCTAGTTTGGCAAGCGTTAATTCTCAGAGGAAGTCCTCACTCCCCCGGTAGTTTTATTTTCTTATAAACTCAGCTCCTTTTGGTAATAGGCTGCTTCCCGAGTGCTCCCTCCCCTGTCCTCCCACCCAAGGAAGCCTCAGTCACTTGCTTTCAGCATTTCTTCCCCCACTAGCGCCCCTCTTCCTTCTGTTTCCACCTGATTTTCCAGGCTGGTCGGAATTTTACAAGTAGGCTTTTCCGGGAGTGGAGTGAGTGTCAAGGCTGGATGACCCAGGTTGGTGGTGTGACTGGGGTGAGGAGGACCAGGATGTGAAGGCTGAGGAGGGGGACACACAATTCCTGAGTTCAGCCCACTCTTAGGTGGGAGTCTTCTGTATGGTGAATTCTGTATGTATGTATGTATGCCCCCCTGTCTTGGTCTAGACACCTCCAGGGCAGCCAGTTTTATTGCGGGAGTCCTCAAGGTTAACTGCCCCCATCCCCATCTCTATTGATTCCCTTCCCTGGGTCCTAGCCCCAGCCCTAGGGTTTCCCAGTCCCTTCCTTCCCAGCCCCTGGCCCACAAGTTTTGGCCGTTAACGTTCCCATGCAAACAGACACCCAGATCAGACTGAGCCAGACTACTCCCCTCCAGGTCTGACCCCCTGGGAAACCCATGGTTTGGTTAACCTAGCTCCTGGGGACAGAGCCCAGGGAGACAAATTGCCCCAGAAGAAGAGCCACTGGGGGTCACGCAGAGGCCAAAGGCAGTGATGAGGGAGGCAGTGGGAGCAGAGCCCACCCTGCTCCTGAGGATACACAGGGAGGTGAAGACCCCTTGGGGGGGTCGCAGCCCAGGTGGGAGGTGCAGCACCCACAGCCCCTTTCTCTCTGGGCCCAGCTTCCCAGCCTGGGGTTCCAGAGTGGGGCCTTTTGGAGGCTGTGGCCATGCTGAGGGGGAGGGGAAATTAGGAGGGGACTCCTTGAGGGGGATAAGGGCTCTGAGGGGACAGGGGGTCTGTGAGGGGAATGAGGACCCAGTAAGGGTGGGCTCATCTGTGCAGGGTCCATCTAGGAGAAGATGCGGACTCAGTATGGGCGATGAGGAAAAAACTGTAGGCCTTTCTTTCTTCCCAACGCTGGGGGCTCAGCGCTGCAGCCCGGGCCCTTTTCCGCACCACCTCCCCCCCACCCCTCTCTCCACCCACAAGCCTCTGCGTGGGCTGCGGTTAGTGGTGGGAAGAAGTGTGAACTCGAGAGAGAGGATGGAAACTCTGCACGGAGGTCAAGGGCAGCGTGGGGTGGGTCAGGACGGAAGTCGGAGACCCCCGCATACCCTGAGCGTAGCCTCATGCCCCAGAACCAGCAGGCCCAGGGCCTCCCCCTTCACGCTTCTCACCCTCCCTACTTCCTTTCTTTCAAGTCTCCTTCGGCCAGGGCACCCGCGCTGCACTCACCGGAGTTAACCCCTGAGCACTTGCAGCCTCGGGGGCTCCCAGAGCCTGGTGAAGGGCTCTAGGCGAGTCTGAGGGATGTGTGGGCTTTCAGCCCTAGTCCTTGGTGCTTTGCCTGCCAGCAGGGTCGGGGGCAGCTCGTGCCCGCGCCCTCTTCCTCGATGGGAAACGCCCATCTTCCCTCCTTAAACTGAAGCCACTAGGCTGGTGTCTCCAAGAAAAGTCTCAAAGCAAGTATCCCCCTTTCTCCACTTGTCTCCTAGGCACTCCCCTGAACTTTTTTTGTCCATGCCAGACACTATGTGAGCAATTTACCTACAAAATCTCATTTCATTCTCACAAACGCGATGTAGGTATCATCCCCCTTTTACATAGATGAGCAAACTGAGGTGCAGAGAAGTGAAGTAATCTGAGAAGTTCAGTAAGAAGTTCAGTGCAGATGCCAAGTGGGTCCTGAGCAGATGGGGTGATGGTGCCTCGGTGGTGTGTTTCTGGTTCAGGTTCTTCTTCAGGTAGAAGGCCCTTATATGAGGGACGACTGTGTGATTTGTTGACCAGACTGGATCACTTTTGAAACTGAAAGGGGGCACTATTAATAATTATGCTGGGGCAACTAGTGTGAACCGGGACAGTCCTAGGCCAACTGGGATCTCTGGGCACCCCGCCTATGTGGGAACTCTGGTTTCCAGGCCTAGCCCTGAGCTGCTCCAATCTGCTGCATCTGGGACGGCTTTCTAGACGCGGGAGCTCTGGTGGATTGGTGGCAGGGGCTGCCACGAAGAGCCAGGCTTTGGGGACCCCACCAGTCATAGCTGGTCGAGGAGAGTGAAGGGGCTCAAGGCGCCCGAAAGGAAGTGGTGGAGCACTGGGTTGTTGCAAAGCAACTTCCTCCTCCCCACCGGCCCGCAACCTCAAGTCCGCTCCACGGCCCGGTGCCTGTGGTCCCCTCCCCGAGGGTCGGGCGGGAAGACTGATGCTGGGTGTGCCTGTGGGTGGTGGAAAGTTTGGTCCCTAAATTCACCCACAGGGGTGAGGTGGCTGGGGCAGTGGGGGGCAGCTTCAAGCAAGGATGGAAGGTCCCAGGAATGTTGGATTTCTGTTTTCCTCCCAATTCTGTATCAGACGATGATGCTGACCAGATGAACAGCTCTAAACCTAACCCTAATCCTAACCCTTTTACTGCTCCCATCCCTGACTCTAACCCTATTCCTGATCCTGACCCTCAACTCTGTCCATAATTTTGGCCACGTGCTACATCAACCCCACTCCTAGTCTGACGCTGGCTCCTTTAATCCTGTCCTCAAGGCCGTCCCCAGCTCTAATGCCATGACACCGTGACACCGCACTAACCTGAATTCTGACCCTGAGGCATCCTCACCTGGCTCCAGGGCAGCACGGAGCATGCGAGATCTCAAGTGTCTTGCAGCTGGTTTGGGCAGAAAGAGGCCTTTTACAGAGGAGGTCGCTTAGGTCACAGACCTTACTGATCTCAGTTGCTTTAACAGTACAATGATGATTATCGTTTCTGGAAAAGTGTGTGAGATCCGTGAATTATTCGTGGAAAGACTGAATGAAAGGATGTGAAGGATGGAATATTCGCAGCCCAGGGGGCCCTCCTTCATGCCAGCTCTGCCATTTGCTCTCTGGCACCTCCGAAGTTGCCAGCTTGAGGTGCCAAGAACCTGCGTTTGAATCTGCTGTGTGCCACTGCCACTCTGTGACCTTGAGCCAGCCTCTTAATTGCTCTGATCTTCCATTTCCACATGTGCCTATCACCCCCAAGGAAGGGGTGGTGATTCTCAGGGCTTCCAAGCCACTGCCAATGTCCCCAGCCCCCGCCTCCTCTTTGTCTTTCCCTTCTGCTGCTGCCTTGCCTTTCCTCTCCCCTCCTTCCCGATTCTTTGGGGGACAGTATAGCATAATGATCAGTAGCCTGGACTTTGGAGTCTAGGGGACAGAGCTCCCATCCCAGCAACTCCATTACTAATAGGCTTTGTGATTTTGGTCAAGTAACTTAACCTCTGTAAGCCTCAGTTTTCTCATCCCTAAAATGAAGGTAACAGTCGCAATGTCGTAGGGTTGTTGTGGAGATGAATAAAGTTTTCAGCAGAGTGCCTGGCCTGGGGTGAGCACTCATACAGATCATCTGATTCTTTTCTCTCTGGGTGCCTCCTAGGTTCTGAAAGACTCAGAACTTTTTCCTATCATGTAAGCAATAAAGCAGCATCCAAATGCAGCCATCTGCTGCCATTTACCTGACCCATTCTTCCCAAAGAGTCATGATGGTGAAAAAGCGCTCAGGTGTGGGCCAGGAAGCCAGGAAATGGAATGTGTATTTCGGTGCACGTGTGCAACTCTTGGTTGTGTTGTGAAGTTGAGATTTTTTTTTCCACTGAATTGGCAGTGTTTTCAGTGAGTCATTCAGGTCGTTAGCATCTTCAGCGGCCCAGGCCTGTGCATCTTGAGATGGAGAGAGACACTCAATGAAGGGGGAGATCCCAAAAGGCCATGGGGCATCAGGAGGAGGTCAGGTCAATCACCTTGCATGGGACTTAGCAGTCTTTGTGAGGGTTGCCTGAAGTTCTGAGTGGACAGAACCCCCCTGCCTCAGGCCCCAGGGGGCAGAGCTGGGAGAGGGGCTGGGCATTCTGGGCCAGGGGCTTCTTCCTTCCATTTTTGGCCACCCTGTCTGTTTCACTGTGAGAAGGATGCCAGGGGCTGGGTGGTAGAAACTGGAGTAGCTCCTGACAAGGGGAGGGAGGTAAGCAGGGGAGTGACAGGGGCCTGGGAACTGAGTGTGGCAGGTGAGATTTCTGAGGAGGGGTGTGAAGACGACGACCTGTATCTGTCGCCTGAGATACAGCAGTGAAAGTGGATGGGGAGAGAAGCTTTGGCTGTGTGGATAGAGGACCACACACTGTCTGTACCCTGCCCAGAGCCCTCTCCTGCCCCTGCTGTCAAGGAGATAGCATGATCCTGCCCTCCGAAAGCCCCCAGTCTGATGGGGGACACAGAGCTCCTGCCCACAGATGTCCTCGGTCTGGAGGGAGAGCCTTCCCTTAGGGAGTCCCCAATTTGATGTGGGACACACCTGGACCTCCCAGTCTGATCGGGGAGACGCCGTTTCTTCCCACAGACCCATGAGCTGAGGGTGAGGGGGCACAGGACACATTTAACAAAAACAAGGGCTGAGATGTGATGGGATGGAGGCCGCAGGGTCTCAGCAGCAGCTTCTAGGACTCTCTGCCTGCCCAGCCTTGCTCACCATCAGATGGGTGGCAAGGACTCTCCCTCCCTAAGAAGAGGGCTGTCTCCCAGAGACCTGGCCCATTTGCAGTAATTTGGCTTTGGCCCAAATGGGTTAAAAATAGTCTTGTGGGAGGGGCAGTTTCGGCCCCAGGATTAGTAAGAGAGAGCCAGTGAGCGGAGCAGGGAGCCTAGTCATCTGCCCTCTCCACTTCTCTTTTCCTGCCCTCTGAAGCCCTAACCTCACGACTTCCCCTCCTCTCCTTTAGGGTTAGACACACACACACACACACACACACACACACACACCCCTATGCTCATTCACCCCTTTCCTCATTCATCAGCCTGGCCTCACACCTGTCTTCACACTCTCCCATCCACATGTCCATCACTATGGGTTGGGGATAGGGCCCTCCAGGCTTTAGAACTTGGGCCCCCTTGACCTCTCTGTCCTGGGACAAGACCTCCCCTGAGAGGAGATCTGTGTGGAGTGACACCTGGTATTTTCTCCCAGCTCCAGCTTCCACTAAGTTCCTGAGTCCCTTCTGGAGTTGGAGGTGGGGAGAGCCAAAGAAACCCAAATCTCTGCCTTCAGGGAGATTCAAAGCTCTGTCCACACTCAGAACAGTGATGAAGGCAGGGCCCAAGGGCATGGCAGAGCCTCCCATAAGGTCAGGGAGGGCTCCTGGGACCGCGCAGGCCACAGGGGGAGAAGGCAGAGAGCAGTGGAGTGATGACCTTCCATGGTTCTGGGTTGCAAATGACCTAGAAAGGAGGGGAAAAGGAAGTGGGTGAGGTTCCTTGCCAAGTCTGTTCCAGCTCCATGAGGGTGGGTGCCCAAGATGCCTGAACAGGAAGCAGGGAGGAAGAAAGGGAGGGAGAAAGAAAAATGGAGGGAGAGGCTCAAATGCCTTATCCACTTACTGAACATCTGCTGGTTTCCACGCCCTGGACAAGGTGCTGGGAATATAAATACAATGACATAATCCTCACCATCAAGGAACTCCCCATAAAGTTCTAGAACAAGGCAGCCTTTGAGAAGTGCCCGGTGTGACTGGCACTCCCTGCAAGTGTGCAGTGTACAGCAACTGTTCACAAAGATCTCAGTGTTAAGGCCTTGGTGGAGTTGTACAGCAAGGAGGTCCTGGGAGGGGCAAGGCTGAAAAGAGCCCAGAGGCAGCTTTGAGGTGGAGCCAGGTGCAGTGGACATGGAATTGGGTTGGCTTGTGGTTAAGTTTATCAGTTAGCACCTCCACCAGCCAGGAAACCATCTTCACTTATGGAACGAGCTATTCTATGCAGCAGGGTCCCCAACCTTTTCAAAGGTGAGGACTCTTCATGGATCCCACTCCCAGTACACAGATTATACTTACAACACTTTTAGTATGCACTGCTTGAGAAAATTCACAGTGACAGAAGCTACTATAAATTCAGTATAGCTTTTTAATGAATCCATGCTTCAATTCATCATCACAGCTTTTGCACAGATTAGAAAAACATTCACACATACCTGTATGAGCTGTGTTCAGGCCACGGACAGTGCCTGATGCACGCAGGGATTCAGGAATTTGGAATCTCTGCTCCCTGTCCCTGCACTTAGGCTGGGAACCACTGCCCTAGCCCAGGGAATGGGTCTCAGCATGCTCCCTGGAAGAGGTGGCTTTTGAGCTGGACCTTAAAGGTAGGGAGGATTTCTGCAGTTGGGGTAGGAGCACCCTGCGGGTGGGAGGGAGCATGGTGGGACCAGATGCTGGGGCAGAGCCAGTTCTTCCTCCACAGCTGGGACGGTAGACTCACTGCCCTTCTTGTCTTCCCCACTGTCCTCTGACTTCAGGGTGAATTTGGCCCTGGCCTACACCGAGCTGACAGAGGAGCTGGGCCGGCTTCGGGAGTTGAGTTCCCTACAGGGGAAAATCTTGAGGACTCTGTTGCAGGAGCAGGCCCGGAGTGGCGGTGAGATGGGGCAGGGCAGGGGAGGCTGCGGCGGGACCCGGGAAGGAGCCGGTAGCCATGGCAACCATCTCGGTCCTGGGAACCACCCTTTATTTCCTTTCCTGTGGCCTGGAGTTGGTGGGCATGGGTCCGGGCAAGCCCCTGGTGCTCCAGTTCTGAGGTCTTCTCTCTGCACTTTTGTCCCCCGACCCCGTCCCGGTTTCTTTTCCAGGCCAGAGGCACTCGCCACTGTCACAGCGCCACTCGCCGGCCCCCCAGTGCCCCTCCCCCTCCCCGCCTGCCCGAGCGGCTCCCCCTTGCCCCCCGTGCCAGTCTCCCGTCCCCCAGCGCCGCTCTCCCGTGCCCCTGTGCCCCTCGCCGCAGCAGCGCCGCTCTCCGGCCTCGCCCTCCTGCCCGTCGCCCGTCCCGCAGCGCCGCTCGCCGGTGCCGCCGCCGTGCCAGTCCCCCAGCCCGCAGCGCCGTTCCCCGGTGCCCCCCAGCTGCCCGGCCCCGCAGCCCCGGCCGCCGCCGCCGCCCCCGCCGGGCGAGAGGACGCTGGCCGAGCGCGCCTACGCCAAGCCGCCCAGCCACCACGTGAAGGCCGGCTTCCAGGGCCGCCGCAGCTACTCAGAGCTGGCGGAGGGCGCGGCCTACATGGGCGCCTCCCCGCCCTGGCTGCAGGCCGAGGCGGCCACGCTCCCCAAGCCCCGGGCCTACGGCAGCGAGCTCTACGGCCCCGGCAGGCCCCTCAGCCCGCGGCGCGCCTTCGAGGGCATCCGGCTGCGCTTCGAGAAGCAGCCGTCGGAGGAGGACGAGTGGGCTGTGCCCACCAGCCCGCCCAGCCCGGAGGTGGGCACTATCCGCTGTGCCTCCTTCTGCGCGGGCTTCCCCATCCCCGAGTCGCAAGCCGCCACCGCCTACGCCCACGCCGAGCACGCGCAGTCCTGGCCGTCCATCAACGTGAGTGGGGCGCCCGCGTTCCGCCCACCTTGGACCGGGCCTTGAGATTGAGACCCCAGAGCTTCACGCTCCGTTGGGGGCCCTGCCCCTTTCGGGTGTCAGCGCACAAACTATTCACCCTCCTTGAACCCCGGGCCACAGTCTAGGTCCCTTCACCTCCCTTTCCCGAGGTCATCTGTCACCAGAAATTGGGGCCTGCCCCATTAAGATTTCGTTCATTTCCTTGGATGAGGATATGGTCTTTGGAGTGAGTGACAGTTCTGCCTTTGATTCCGAACACCAGCACTTAATAGCTGTGGGACCTTGTGCAAGTTACTTATCCTTTCTGATCCTCAATATTCTCATCTGCAAAATGGGGATAATGATTATAGTATCTGATTACCTTATAGGGTTCTTAAGAAGCAGGCAGTGAGCCTAAAGCAGTCAGCACAGTGCCTGGCTCAAGCATTTGCTATTATATTGGCTATGGTGATGGTGGCTACTGACCATAGCAGGCCACCAGCCAACACACGAACAGGCCTGTTTATCCAGCTCCCTCCTTCAGGCCTCAGAGCGCTTGCCCTTTTCTGTCAGTCCTGAAAGACAGAAGCCTATCTCAGGGCTCAATCGTTTCACTGAAATAATGAGTTCCCTGAATGTCAAAGCCACCCATTGCAACCTGGAAAGACCAAAATATACTCCAAAGCCAGACAGAAAATTATTTTGGGGTTGTACCTTGTTTAGGATTGTCCATTGCTTTGAGTTATCCGGGAGCTGTGTCTTAGTCACTCTGGGGGCATGTCTGGGTCTTGGTTTCCCTCCTTACCACAGATGCTGTGGCAAGCTGAGCAGTGACTCTCTCATACCTGCCTCCTGGGGACCCTGTCCCTGGGCAAGTGCGTGGACACTGAGCTGGTGTGGGGGAGGACGGTGCTGAAGAAAGGGTGGCTGAACCCCTCCTGCATGCCACAGCCCTGTCTGCCCTGGGTCCTGGGACAGGGCAGGCTGGGATGTGGGTACCATGAGTGGGGGCTGGGGACCATAAGTGACTTCCTTCTCTCCCCACAGTTGCTGATGGAGACGGTGGGCTCCGACATCCGCAGCTGCCCCCTCTGCCAGCTGGGTTTCCCTGTCGGGTACCCGGATGATGCCCTCATCAAACACATTGACTCCCACCTGGAGAACAGCAAGATCTAGGGCACCACCCCCACCCACTGGCTGTTTCTCTGTCCTCTCCTGTAACCCCCAAACACTCACTTTGAATGCTGCATGAATTTCGTGGGGGGGTCCTTGCCCCTTGCGACCCCCAGATACCTCCACTTGCTACCGAGTCAACGTGCGTGCCGTCTTCCCTGGTCCAGGCACCACTCAGCTCTGGCTCTTCCTGGGAGGTCAGTCGAGGCTTCCCCCATGCTCCTGGTTTCTGCTTGGGAGGTGGGGACTTGGGCTGGGATGGGGATGGCATACCCCTCCCAGGCCTCTCCTTCTGCCTTTCTGTTCTTAAACAGGGTTGGATCCAAGAAGGTGTCTAGTGCTTGGGCCTGGGGTGGGGGGAAGGTGTTAGAGGACTCCAGGAGCTCCTGCACCCCTCCCCAAATGTCCATCTTTTTCAGATGGGGCTCTGTCTGGGGAGCATCCACAGGCTGTCTTTGGGGTCTCAGAGCCTGCTCTGAGCACTGACCCCAGTTCCTCCATCCTGTGGCCAGCCTAGGGCTCATGGCATGGGCCCCCATTGGGGGAGGGAGATATCTTGTTTCTTGCCATTCCCTACAGGCCAGCCCTGTCCTCCTTTCCCTGTTCTGCCCACTCTAGGGAATAGGGAGGGGTGGAGAGGAGAAGGAGGATCCTGGAGAACTGGGAAGATCTAGCATAAAGAGTCTTCTCTGAGGGCCAAGGCCCTACACCATGCCCCTATGGCCAGGGGACTGTCTGCCAGCCTCCCAGACCCATGCCCTCCTGACGCCCCTGGCACTGAGGCACAGATTGTGAAGGCAGATGCCCCCTCAACCCTCCACTGGAGCCTCTGACACCACAGGTGCCCTGGAGCCCTTGTGTGACTCAGCCTCTGTTAACTGGGTGGGTGTCACCAGCCCCTGCCTCCCAGGCCAGAACCTGAGAACGGGCCCAGGGTGCTGTGGAGATCAACTTCAAAAGAGCTAACCCCTTCCCACACTCCACCCACCCACCTACATTTCCTCTGTGAAATCTACCTCAGAGTTGTACCCTCAGAAGGACGGGTAAGCAGGAGGCCAGGGGGTCCCCAGGGCTGAGGTGGGGAGCCTTCTACGGCGAAAGCCTGCCACCCCACAATGAATCCACCCTGCTCCACTGCGCGCCTCTCCCAGGTCTCAGCTCCGGGCGGGGAGCAGTGGCCGCTACCGACAGCGCATGTCCCGCTCTTATCCAACTCTTCCAGGCCCCACCTCCCTGCACCCCTCCCCTCCATAGAGCAGGGGAGTGAAGGGGTGTGTCGGGCGGGGAAGGGGCCAAGGACATGTCTTTGTACCCTGAGCATCCCCAGGGAGGGGAAATGGGGAAGGGGGCCTGGAGAGGGGAGGTGGGGCCCCCTGTGCTCTCTGAACAAGTTAAAAGTCCAAATAAAACTTACCTGTTCCATCTGTGCTCAGTCTGTGCCCTCTGTGGCTGGGGGCAGGGCGGGGGGCGGGTAGAGCTCTTGGTAGCAGGAGGTCTTGGAAAGTGTGTCTCAAGGGACTATGACCATGGGAGGTAGACACTGGGCAAGTAGGGGATGCATGGGGCACCCACATTCAGAGCGGTTCTGGAGGTGTAGACATGTAAGTGGTTGCAGATGACTTGTGGCATGGCAGTCATTAGAACAGATAGATATAAAGCAGCCACCCACCCCCGAGCAGGCCTCTTGAATTTCCCACCCAGTAGGTCTGGCCAGTTGAGGTTCTAAAGCCTTGGGGTTTATCAGTAACAGTTATGTCTTCATCAAATGATTTCTGCTTGTCAGGAACCAGGCTGGGGCCTCAAAGAGGAAGAACATCCGTGTTCCATGTCCTCATGGGTCTAAGAACAGGGGAGGGCCTGGGTTCCAGGCTCAGCAGCTGCCTCAGAAGTCCCACAGCCTGGAAGGTCAGAGCTGGGTCATGAACCCATGACTTCTGTCCCAGCTGGGGCTGTGCCCTATGTCTGCAAAAAGTGCTTCAGTGACTTGTTCATCAACTGGGTGCCTTTCTCTTCCATGTGGCCGTTTTCGGTCAATAGTTCACTTAAAAACAAAACAAGGACAGAGGCAATTGCTCATTGAAGGTGTGAGGTTCGGCTCTAGAGTCAGGGCAAATGTGCCTTCCCATTCAATGCCAAAGACCAGACACCTGTGGGAAGACTTCCCAGTCACTCTGGGTTCTCTGTTGCAGTTAACAGCTATGCTGCCTTCTCAGAGTTCATCCAAGCTCAATTCCACCCACAGCCAAGTCCTGAGTGCCAGGAGAAGTTTGACCAGCCATCCCTATGTGACACGGGTTCATAGCCCTGGGAAAGAAGGTTTTGGAACCGTTGGCATATGGGTGCCCGTATAGTGCCCCCTGCTATTTCTCCATCTCCATGGAGGAAGGCAGCACCCAAGTTTCTGGACCTGGGTGCCTTTTGGATCTTTGGAAGCACTTAGGAGATGTGCATGAATGAATAAGGGTGGTTTAGGGACACACGAGGCAAAAAGAAATCCTGCTGTTGAGAAGAGGCGCAAAGGATAGCTGGGAATGAGAGTGCAGAGGCAGGGGGATGACCCAGGTAACCACCGCTGGTCCTTGCGCATGTCTGAAGGTGGGAGGGAACCCAGGTGTCCTGCAACCCGGACATTCTCCTGTCACCAGGGTGAGGGGGAGTGTGGGGACACAGGGCGCAGGTTCTGGCAGCTTGTCTCCTTGATTTCTAGGAACCTGGGAGAGGGCTCAGGTGCAGGGCGGAAAGTTGCTGGGGGCTGGGAGGGAATGCTGGGAAGGAGAGAAAGCTAGTGTGCCCCAGTCTTTAATTCTCTAATCCTCCCCCCTGCCCCTGCCACCAAAAGGAGAGGACATGGCGTGGGGAGCTGGGAAAAGGCTAGGGAGCCCTGCCAGTCCTCATCCCTTCTCTCTCAAGGACTGTGATCATGGAAGGACACTTGCTACTCATTACTCTGTGGAGACAGGGAGGCAGGACACTGGGGCTGAGAAAATGCAGAGGCAAAGGGGTCTCTAGGCTCCTGGAAAGGGGAAGAGTGTGGGAAAACTGTGGCAGGAGCAAGTGGGAGGGAAGGAAGACCTCTGTCGAGGCTGGAAAGACACACATGGGGGACCCACTCACTCTCCCAAAGCCAGACATGCACAGGTGGGGGAAGACGACTTCACAGGGAACAAACCCCCCTCGGGCGCATCACCACATGCTGTATTAAAGGCCAGTGTCCCACGGTCTCTCTGGCTATACCCCTTCTCCCCACAGGGTTTCCCCAGCCAGAGCTACCAGGCCATGGAGACCCGTGCTCCTGGCCTGGGTCCCCATGCAGGCTGTGTCAGGCGATCAGCTGAGCACAGCAACAGCTCCTTTCAGCAGCTGGTGGTGTGTGTACGTGCACAAGTGTGCGGCAGAGTGTATGTCGGGAGCATCGGATCCTAACAAGGGGAGGGGTGTGTGGGTGAGTCAGCCGTGTTAATCAGAAACACCTCACCCAGCTGATTAGGACTAATGAAGAATGGAGTAGGGGGGGGACTCACTCAGTGATGTCTTTTTAGGGTAGGGAGAGCAGGACAGTTCCCCCTGTCCCATCTCTCCCTCAGCAAGGACAGGAACAGACCAACTTTGGCAGCCACAGGAAGAATAGAGGTCAGACATAAGGATGAACCACAAGGGCCAGGGGGCCCTAGCTGGAAAGGGGTGAGCAAGGTGTCTGAGGCAGTGGCCACGTAGTGTGGGGAAAATGTGTGAAATCCTCCAGCACCTGCCCCTATTCCTGCACTTTCTCCACTTTCTCTGTTTTGACCCCAGAGACATTCTCGGGGCTCAAGGTTGTGCCCCCTGGTGACCTTCTGAGAGTCAACCCACATCTGCAGAGGGCTGCGAGCCATGCTGTTCAGGAGCCTCCACCCTTTACACCGCAGCCCGGCAGAGAGGGCTCCGGCTTGAGGCACTTACTGGTTTGTGCATTCGCTGTTCATGCAGGTGCCATGTAGATGCCATGGGGCTCTATGTAATGACCAGGGAGGGGTCTGGCAGGGCTGAGGGCACGAAGGGGCTGTGCAGGGGGAACCTGGGCATCAGCTAGAGGCCCTCTCGGCTCCTGCCCTTCCTTGCAGCAGAGGCAGATGCCCCTGAGAACCCAGTCTTAGCCCACAGCTTCACCCATCCTGCATGCCAATTCAGCCAAGGGCAGAGTCACCAGGCGCATCTCACAGATGTCCTATTCGGCTATGTGAGTGTGGGCATGGGGGAGGGGGAGGGCTGAGGGGACAGGATGGGTGTCGGCCAGCACCTCAAACACCTCCTAATTTGCATTACCACTGACACCCTTCTTGACCAAGAAAATGGAGCTAGAAATAACAAGGCGGGAGGCGATTCCCTTGGGGGGGACTTTGAGTTTCCCTTTCCTTGCCTCCAACACTCCCACGGTGCAGGGGACAGGAGGTCAGCCCCACAGCAGGGCCCTGGGCAGGGGAAATGCACCGCTGTGGCTCATCCCTCTCCAGGTTGGGCAGACACCTCTTTCTAGCTTCCCACTTCCCTCACCCCCAAACACCTGAGCCCTGACCTTTCCTTCTTCAGAGCCTTCCCCACTCCATTCCTCTAGGAACCCTCTCCCTGGCGCCCCTCTGGCAGCTGTAATGACTCCAGCTCTACCTAACTGGGGAGTTGTCTCTGCCGGTGTTCTCAATCTGTGTCCTGCCTTCCCCATCAGAATGGGCATTTCCCAGGGCCAAGGTCCAAACCTTCCCTGCCAATCTGGAACTAGCTCAATGGACCATTCTACATGGGAAACAGGCCACACAATAGAGCAGAAGGGCTTGCAATGAGATTCTAAAAATGGCATGAGGTAAATCCGGGTCCAGTGTGAGACTGTGGCTGTGTGGGGCGGCAAAGGTAGACCCCCGTTCCTGCAACCCCAGGGACTCCCAGCTCTGTCAGAGGCCTCTGAGTGTCAGGCAATGGGATCCTGGAGGAAAAGGATCAGGACCGTGGCAGTGCGACACCTTTGTCCCCTGCCCCAGTGACTGCAGCACAGACGCACAGACACATTTGATGCTCAAACTGTGTGGATTGAATTTACTTCTGTCCCAAAGAGGGGAGGGAATGGTGTGACAGTCACAGCTTGGAAGTGGGAAATGATGGGCCGTGGAGAGCAGGCCACCTCGCTGGCCAAGAGGTCCTGGCACCTGGCAGGGTGAGGTGGTGAGGGTGGAGGCAGAGCAGAAGGGCCTGGCAGGGAAACCAGGTCGTGAGAGACAGCGCGAGAGCTGTGAACGCACTGCGGGAAGGAGAGAATGGTGAACTGAGAACTCCCCCATACCTCCCTCCAGAGATGCTATTTTAGGGGGAGAGAATATATGCAGCGCAGGGGGCAGGGGTGGGGGAGCAGGCTTTCCTTGGGGGTCAGCTGGGCCACTGCTGCCTCTACTCTCCCAGGCATCTTCTTTGGCTCTGGGACCCCTAAGCCCTTCCTTCCTCTCTGGGAAAGTCTTCTTGTTCCCTCGAGTGTGAGGGTGGAAAGAACGAGCCAGGAGATTTGGAGCTGGCCTCTTGGTACCCTGTGAGGGTCCCTGGGGCCTCAGACCTAGGGGTAAGTTTCTATTTCCATTGCTTCCTTGGAAAGTGGGTGTGGAGGGCAGACTGTGAGGCAGGCACGGAGCCCAGTTCAGCAGGCCTGAGCACTTCTTGCACCCAACTCCACACTTAGGCGCTCTGCTCAGATCCTCCCTTAGTATCACGCAGGGGGAGTGAAATTTGGTGTTAGAGGAGGCCAAGGCGAAAGGCACATCCAGGCCAGCCGAGCTCCCACCGATAGTCGGACCTCTCCCACTGGGGAGGCCAACCTGCTCCTTGGCCCAAGGAGGCTAGATGGAGATTGCTATCAGATAGAACCGTTGTTTGGCATGAAGGGGAATTCTTGCACCCTAGTTCAACCCTCTGAAGGGCCCTGACTCATTTTGGGATGAAGGCTCCAATGCCCTGTGGGTTTATGTGGTGGCTGGGGGCAGGGGTGGGCAGGGTGGGTAGGGGATGAACAGAGACTTTTGTTTTCGTTTTTGGAGCTGGGTTGTTTCTCCACCTGATCCAGCTTCACCTGAAGGAGAGTGTTGGCTGGAGTGGGAGGAAGACCCAACTTCCAGCCTGGGAGGTGCTGGGCACTGGCTGCAACAAAAGGAACCTTGGGTTAAACTTTAGGAAGAACTTCCTGGGGACACATTTCCAAAGAACTGAGGGATCCCGTCCCCTGGATATTCACAGCAGATCCCTCTAGGGCTGGGGAGCTTGGCCTGGCCTTGGGAACAGAGGCAGAGAGGTGAGCAGAGAGACCCACTGTGGGAGGCGAGTGGGTGGCAGAAGGCTCCAGGCAAGAGGGATGAGGGTGGGTCCAGGCGTGAGAACACACAGGTCCCCAGGCCACAGCCTGGGTTAAGGGATCTGA